TGGTCTGCATGGTACTGTCTCTTATCCACACCGTTGAATGTCTTCATTCCTTTCAGTTCGGCGTACTTTCCATCGTTAGCATTCACATCAATACATTTGGTTTGCGTGCTCCATGCAATGTGTTGTTCCGATCCCTGTTCATATCAGTCGCGGGCTTCGGTCGCGGTCTTCAACGGAATCACAATTCTTTGGTTCGATGTCGACTTCCTCGATCACATCAGCCAATTACGCTCGTGCTCCTGTTCATTATGTTGCGTCACACAACGCTGGAGACGTCGGTGCTGTCCGTTATATTGTTGTTCAAGCCGGTTATCATGCTGTGCGACGTGAGCCTAGGATGGCACGTTCTTCTCGGGTATGCATGCCAATGCGCGGTTGCGCTTAATCACTAATATTCGGTGTAGGACACTATCGACAATGCTGTGTCGCGAGATGTGTATGTATGGTCCTTGGTACCGGACCGCTTAAAGCATTTCATGGGATTTGAGTGGTGTTCTCGTGCCCAGTCTTCTTACAATCGGCGAGCCCGTTCGGGTGAACGCCCTCTGGATGGGTTTGCGGTAGCGTCGCTCTTCAAGAATGCCGTCTTTAGCGCTAATCACACTTTGTCGAACGATGTGTGCGTCACCCTTTGTTCTATTGTGGCCGTCTCGATTCACTGACATTTTGTCCGTGTTCAGGAACTCCCCAGATGTTTATGTAGGATCTTGTGTGTGTATCTACCCGGTCGTCTGTGTAGACGCTGCATTCTTCGTTGTCTGACTATAATATCTGACCTGGAGTCCGTCATTCCGCCGATGCCTGCCTTACATCCTGGAGTGCGTGTGATATGTTCCGCTGCGTACACCATTCGGTTGCTTATGTTGCTGTCGTAGATAGAAGTTGCCGATGGCTTATTGCCGTCGGCTATATCAGCAGCTCAGCTTCATCCGTCTTTGGAGGTGTCATGAGGTCGTACTTGGGCGCCTACATTCGCAGATCTCAGTGGTGTGGATTGGGTTTCCTGCGTCTGAGACAAGAAATGGGCGGTTCACTCATGCCGATACCTGCTACCTTTCTGGAGTCTGTCTTCGTCCAAGTTGGCGTGTTCGAAGGTACTTCGGTGTATGCGCGCACATGCCCGAACTTGCCTTTAACGCTGAAGGAATGCGTCGCTTATTATATGTCTTTACCTTCGCCGAACAATCTCGAGTTTTCAGATCCAGTTAGTTGTTCTTAATCTCCCTTCCTTCTCAATACGCTGACAGTCTCTGATGAGGTCTCCGACGATTCTTCCGAACCGGGGGAGATGCATGATCACTGGGTTAGTTATCGTTGCGTTTCTCGGTCCGTTCCTTTGGTGACATGTTTGTGCAGTGCGCTTGTTTATGGTATGCGGCGACGCGGCAAAGAAATTTGCAACGTAATCGTCCCCCCACCGACCCATCCCTCGGTCCCTTCCTGCCGACCTCTAGGGTGTTCCTTCTCCTGGTATTCCTTCAACTAGATGTACATCTACGGGAGACTTTTATCCTCTATGGAGACGGCTGGCTCGCTTTCTGTTCATCGTTCACCGTACAAATCAACTGCCCATCATTCTCCTGCGCCAGCACCGACCAACGTATTTCACTCTCGTCATCATCCTTGTCATCTCGATCTTCCTTTGGAGGCAGATGGGAGTCACCTTGCAATGTACGCTTCGTTTCCCCCCACGATGCTTCTCCTACGCATATACAACCGACAAGTGGTCTGATATTCACTTAGGAATCGAAGGCCAGCATCCGACACAGTCATCCTAAACACCGCACTGCTTCTTCCTCCTCCCTATCATTTGCCGATTCCTCTGTCGCCTCCCTTCCTTCGCATTATCCTCGTTCCCGACGTTCTCGACCCCCTTCTATTCGGCCCTCCCGTCACCGAAGGGTGAGAGAAGAGCCAAGAACCACCTGAGGGTGCTCATGCCCCACAGATCTTCGAGAATGTGTTTGTATGCCTCAGAGAATATATCGGGTGAATCGCACATAGGGAGGGGTCCATGGAGGAGTGAAATGAGAACTTGATAGGCGAGGTAATAGCAAGCATGGACTGTGTTGGCCGGGTCTGTCTGCTTTCATGCTGTTCTCACGGCTCTGCTAACAAGTGGTAGCCACTGGTAGTGGCTACCACTTGTTGGACTAACAATTCTAATGCGCTTGTTCCATCGACTTTCTTGTTCCTGAACTGCCTGTCGTACCCGCCACCGCCCACACGCCGGACGAATCTCCATTCGTCCACCAGCAATCGATGAGGACAGCCCGCTCAAGTTGACAGGTTACGATAATCTCTCGTCCCCCCCCCTTTCCGGTCGTCGTACAAGTCTTACAGTCTGGACCGTCCCTCTGCGGGTACATCCCCTGCTCAGCGCCACCGCTCTCTACACTGTTCAATTGCCCCCCTTCCCATTTGATACCATCCACGCTGTCTACATCCAGTGTTATCAATACCAATACCATACGCCTTTGGACGAAATGCGCTTCTATTGCAAGCAATGTGAGCGCACTGACGGAGGGTTGAGAGCGTTCGGGATAACGCGGTGAGGATGGACGGTGTACAGGCGAATCAGGCGGAGATTGGGGTGAGTGGCTATTCTTCGGGAAATACAACGCGAAGATGACATCGCTGCCGCAGGAGTAGCCTATCGCGTTTGCATGCAGTTTGGCGAGGGATATGCGAGGATCAACTGTGGTTGCAAGAGGGAAATATCGGGTAATCGGAAGCACACATTTTCCGGATGCATGTCTGGCTGGCATTGTCAGTATTCTCGAGGTTCTGGGGCGAGTAGTCTCCCGAAATGTTTACAACAGGACATCTGGGTTGAGCGATGCAGCGACAGAAGAATATTGTGGGCAGATGGAAGAGGTGTCCTTGCACATCTGGATTCCTTTTCTGATTATAATAATCAGCCCTGCATCTCGCTGCTAGTGCTCCACTTGAGCGCTTGAACTCGAGGCGAATAAGTATATATCAGGAAGTTAGACAATAACCGACAAGATGGTGTCGCATCCTCCGTCACAGGTTTGGGCTCCTTGCTCACTCGATCCCTGTCATCTGTCGCTTTGGGCTTCAACATTGGGGGTGAACTGGTACCTTTTGGAGCAGCTCACTGGAACTTTTTGGCTTTTGCCATTTGGGAGGATTGCACAAAGTGAGGCGAAGGAGAAGGCGGTTCGAGCTAATACCACGCTTCTTCACAGTCCCTTATACTTAAATCCTGGGCGCAGGCGTCATGCAAGAGGCCTGTACGTAGTAGATTAGAACGACACATCATCAAAGTCCCTCAATCATGCGGAACACGGATCTAAGCTCCTCGCTGCCGTACTTTACTACCCCACGCGTAATTATTTATTGAAACAAGAGAGCATCAAGGTCAACCTGGGAGTATATGAGTAACACCCGAACCCTGAAAAGCCGGCGGACCGATCCAGCGGGCTACGCGGTGATCTCTTCCAGCTCCATCCATGGGGTCCTGGAAGGTCTTCAAATGGTCGTCGGGGATTGGGAGACCGGCGTCGCGTAGGATTGCGCCAAGGTCCTCGCACAAGCTAAGCCTGATTTCGACCAAAACTGGGTCACAAGCGAGAGCTTGTAGAAGCTTCACAAAAGGTGGGCAGCCATTGGAATGAAGGAATGACTGTAAGATCCATGGTCGGGCTGAGCGGGTCTGATGAAAGCGCTTCAATGCGAATCGTCATTGCCAGCTAATGGCACAGTCATTGGTCGTGCTATTGGTCTGATTCTAACAAGGCCACGAGGCTGAGAGTCGTTCCATCTCGACATCCAGCAATCCGTGCTTGTCATCAACGTGCAAAAGCACGGTGAGTTGGAGGAGCATATTGGATAGATGGACATGGTGCCATCGTAGGCTCTGTCTTTCTCGAGTAAACACTGGGCAAGCAGCTGGTGCGGCAGCTGGATGTTTACTAGGTGCCAGTCGGCAGGTTCGGAAATCTCGAGTTCCAAAGGAATGCATATGCGTTGTTGTGTCGGAAAGGATATGTGTGGGGTGGGCGAGGATAGCGGCGGAGAGGAAGCCATCCGATACGACTGTTGCACTGGGAGTTGATAAGGATTTGCTAGTTGCAGGTCGGCGACTATCAGGCCCGCCCATGTAACCTTGTTGTTAGCTACTCTATCGATTCTCGCTTGTACAGTCGCAAAGCTCGCAGACTGACAATGTACTTGCATTTCAATGCCCGGGCGACGCCATTGTTGGAGACCCGTGGGATGAGGTCGTTAGCCTTCTATCGCCGATTGAGTTCGAATATGCCGCCGTCTTCCTTGGGTCCAACGACCAATAGATTTCGCACATTCGATAGTGATGGTCGCAGGAACCACGGCAATGATCGTCCACTCCCCTCTAGTACCGGTGACGCGGGCACTCGCCTTGCTGAACTTGATCGGAGAGCCCGGTAGCCAGAAGGTGTTCACGTGCGCCATCGAAGAACGAATCCAATAGCATGGAGCACTTGGGATGTATTTCTCGATATAATTTCAATAGTCTGTAGATGCAAGGTCAGAGCGGGAAACTTCTCCATTCAAGGGAGGCATACCGTATTCTTCGAAATTGGACATTATATTCCAGGTTTGCTGAATACTAATACCCAACCATCGTTCAGCGCTGGGCCATACATCGCACAATCGAAATCGATCACCATTACGTGAGTACCGGGTCCGGGGCGGATGACAAAGGTTCGGATTTGATTGTCAGGTGAACCACGCCTGCAGCAAGCACGTCGATCATGGCGCGGAGTGCCGCACACTTGAGCTCTTTGGAAGTTGGCATCCCCGCCAGGGATGGCCCATCCACGAACTCCGTGACCAAGATGGCATATCCTGCCACTAATTCGCCTAACATACAGTCAGGGAGGATATTCTGACGCCAGCCTTAGCAACGAGGAAGGGATTCTGGGTTGGTTTCGTAGGCGTGCCGAAACGCTTCGTAGACGGCTCGCTCAGTGCAGAACCTGTCTTCACCAATGACCTCTTCATCTTCATCATTGGGCGGCGGATACTGTCTTTCTATGAGCAAGTCCAACATGTCTATCGAGTAGTGACATTACTGCTTTAATAAAGACGATGCCTTGATTGCCATGGTCGGTCGTGTATCTGATAGGTATGATGAGCGGCAGACGAATGGTATTCTGGGCACCGGAGGAGCAAAATTTAGAACATCCTGGCATGTCGACCGTCGTCGAGGTTCGTTCACATATCGGCGCTGAAGTCGTGCTCGGGAAGGAACATCAGATAAATGAAACCAATGAAGCCCGCGTCAGATGTGGTAGATAGGTAGTACATCATCGTCGAATGTGTCTTCGTCCCTTCCTTGATCGCCGCTCCGTAGCACATATATGCTTTCTCGTTCTGGCAGCCTCTGAATCGAGTTGTTTCGGTGGCGAACGCAGAAGGTGGGGGACCTTGTCTTGGACGGTTGGCAATCCAAGTGAAATGGAGAAATGGGAGCGCTTCCTTCTAGTTGTTGCCTTGCGAGTAGGGGCACTTCTCCGAGAGGAAGATGCGGACGCAACAGAAGGAAAGAGGGCGAGATGACGAGGAGGGGTACGTCACTGCGATGGGGCAGCAGGACAGAGAGGATGTGCTGGCTCGCTGTGGTAGTTGAGCGGGCATAGTGTAGTATTGGTATACGAGTCCATAAGAGTTGTATCGGCAGGACTGAATACGGGTCGTTAGGTTAATTTCGACACACGAGGAGGCTAGAAACGCACGGTGGACGATGGACTGTTAACCTAAATCGCACCGCATCAAGAGCGCATACAACCCGCCGACACCGTCTCTCTCGGTCGTTGAGGAAAA